ATTTCTATTAATTTTTATTAGTGTTCATTTAGTTTTCTATAACTGTAATGTTTATATGAGCTAAATTTAAATTGTAGCATGAAATGACATTTTTTCTTGATCTCAGTGTAAATTACTTGTTTGCACTCATTTTCGAGGTGTCGTCAATGAACAGGATGTATTCCTTGACTGTCGTTAATCGCATTTCAACATTCTCTTATCTCATTCCAGTTGACCTCGCCCATTCGATGCGCTGCAGTTGCCGTAGCCGATCGCAACTTTTGAGGCTCACTGTACTTTGGCGCCTAGACGATCGTTACAATCTATATGTAGGCTTGTGTGTGTGTGTGGCGGCCTCTATTTCATAGATCTTAGAGAATTGTTTTTGCTACTTGTGAAGTTTTATTTTTTTTTAGCATAGGCATTATAAACAAAAATTAATTGAATTGTCAACGCTTAACATGCAAATTGTATTTGGGGGCCCATAGTTCAGGCCAAGCAAATATCTGACAAAAAAAAAAAAAAAATAGCTTATATGTAGAAGAAATTAAATACTATGAAAAAAAAAAAAAAAACTTTATAGCGAATAATAATTTTTGAAACTGCAATATTATCGGCTTATCGCAGTCACAAAATTGCTATCGGATTTCATAAGATTTCTTAAGCCTATATTAGTTGGTAAGTTTCCTTTCGCATGCAGCTCTGAATTCACATATTACATGAATTCAGAATTCTCCAAGTCAGAGGCAACCGCAAGTGGAACGGGTATCAGGTATCGATTCAGGTTGGGATCTCATCACCAAGTGCCGCCTTTACTTTTCACAAACACCGCACTTGGCGAGTCGGGCTGAACGAGTGCCCGATGATTGCTTGCCATAGGGCTTGATGCTGTTGACCTCCAGGAAGTAGTTGCCCTTGATGTTGTGGGGCACAGCATAGCCCATGGGATACTGTTCGCCCGTGCAGAGATCATCGCGCAGCCTTCTCAGCGAGCTGCAGCGTGTGGCCAGGAAATTGCGCTCGTTGCCCGGATAAACGGACTCCTCGTAATACTCCCAGGCACGGGCATGGGCACAGGTCACCGATATGCAGCCGACGGGCAGAGGATCCAGACCGCCCGGATAGAAGTCCACATCGCCCATGGGATCCCGTTTGCCCAGCACG